ACTCCTTTATTTAATCACTTCAGTGAGTAAAGTCTTCGCATGGCCAGCCTGCCAGGTACAAAGAAAAGACCAAAGCGCAGGAGACCTTTCCGGGTCGATCGAGAAATCGCCAAGCCTGCCATGCCAGTGAGGAGTGCGTGCCAGCCTGCCATCCTGGTGCGCAATTGGATGCCCTATGTAGCCCTTCTCCAAAGATCATCAGTTAAACCTAGGATCTCTAAATTCAGCAGTGCTTGTCTCACCCAGAAGAATCATTCTAACAGAGATACTGCCGTCAAATTGCAGTAGGACTTCTGAAAGCCAAGGACAAAAAAACAGATCCTTTTTCAATATATTTCAAGCACCTGTGTGTCAGGTGCAACTCCTCTCCCAGTCAGGAGTGTGTGTAGGAAAGTAGTGGTTACTCTTAGCTGGTCTGGAAGATCACACCTCCTTGACCCCGAAGGAAGCCAAGATCAAAGCCTTGGAATCTGCACTCGAGCGGCAGCGAGACAAGGTCTTTGCCTTTGGCCTTGGGCATGCGTTTTGACTATGGAAACTGACACAAAGAGAGCGTTTTTGAGGAAACTGTGGCATGCGTTTTGACAAGGAAAAACGGACCCATAATTACAAAGAAAGTAGGTGGAGGGCATTGCTAGTAGGTTGGAGGTCATTGCTAATTGGGTTGCGGGCCATTGGAGGTTGCTTGCAGTTGTTAGCAGGCTGTTTGTGTGGGGCTTCTTTAGTCCGGTAGGCCCGGTGAGACCACCATCATGGCCATCATTGTTGTGAGCATCATCACCATTGCACTCGTCATGAATCATGTTTGTGAGCAGTCGTGGAAGGAACTGTTTTTTTTTTGGACCACGATGATCATCTTTAAAGACATGCATGGGCATGGGATGATCCAGCGAAGTGTTTGGTCAATGAACAACCAGGTGGTAGGTTGGTGATGGTGGGGGGCATGCCCTCCATTTCTTCAATCACCAGAGAGTCTGCTTCCAGAGCCGGAGAGGTTCAAGACTGGCCATCCATGGGACTGGCCATCGGGAAGGCGCCCACCATGTGCTTCGATCGACCCGGCTTCCGCAGGTCCGTCATGCAGAGGGTGCTCTTCAACACGACAAGCAGAAGTGTGGAGCTCAGCTTTTACGGGGACGGCTACCTTGGACACCTTGGGTTGATTGGAAGCAACCTCGTTGTTGGAACCAACATGAATTTCACCAACTAATGGTGAAGCCTCCTGTTCCACTGGACACCCTACAGATCCTACCGAAAACACACACACAGATCGTTGGAACCAACGAGGGGAAGGCTGCTTGGAATCACCAGTGACCAGCCAAGTTAGAAGCAATAGCCAAACCAACAAGTAGATTCAACGAAGAACCACATTGAATACACTTGGACTTCTTTAGCCCAAGACCCCGCTAGACAGGGCTTTGCAGGATGAGGACCCGGTAGAACATGAAACCACAGTCCTAGTCCTTTCATGTCCTTTCGGTTCTCTTTTCCAGTGACTGCGAAATCTTCACTGACCCATTTGCATCTTAGATATCTTAGGTGGAGCCTCACTCCATCGCCTCACGCCCGGCCGATGGAGTGAGTCTTGCCTCGCCCCGGCTGCTCTCGGTGACCAGGCTGGAGATTGATGTGGCTGTCTTGGCCACAGAGCTACATCATGCACGAGTGCCCTGGATGAGGATGAACAGACCTGTGACCTGAGTGTTCGTGCGATGGGGTTCGTTTCGGAGATCTCGGAACACGATCTCGAGATTGAAACTCCCCTTCAGCAAGCTGAGAACAGACGGATTCAATCTTGGCAAGGTGGGTTTGGTCTTGGCATGTAACTCTCCACACAGGAGTGTGTATGAAAACAGGGAGACCTCGCAACGCGACCCCCCGGTTTGGGCGAAGCCCCTGGAAGCTTGAAGCCTCATCGACCAAAAAATCACACTGGGATCCATTGGGCCGGGAGACCTTCCGAACATATTAAAAGACAAATGAAGCTACTAGGAGCAAAGGGCATCGCTACTAGGAGCAAGGACGCCACTAGGGCGCTCCTGGCCATACTACTAGTAACAAGAAGCTATTAGGAACAAGCATCCAAAATGCCAAAATGGATCCAAGTGGACCCTCTCGTTGCGACGCAGCCGGATCCGGTCGATGTTCTAGCCGTCCGCAGCGGACGGTCTACAACGATGGGCTCCCAAGGATCTATCAATGCCTCAATGTGTGGCATGCTTCTGATCATGATGTTCTAAATATGTTTTCACGTATTTTTTTCAGACTTTTGGTCATGATTGGCATCTGGACCACTGTGCTTTGTCAAGCGCACGAAGAGTCTGACATGGTTCATGGCTGAGAGTAATCTACAGCTACTAGCTATGGAACAACATGCTGTGATACCCTTCCTTTAGCAGTAGGGTCACAAAGAGCGGTGTATAAAAACATAGAGGTTTTCCAAGTATGGTTCATCATTCGGCCAGAAATCTGGTGAAACATGGACTTGTCATCTTCTTGGAATCGGCCACGCGATTCTTTGCTGAAACGGCGACCTACTGCGGTCCTGCGATGCGACCGGCGCGCGACCTGCGCGCCGAGGTGCCGACCTCGCAGGACGACGGCTCGGAGCTTCGCCTGCAGCTCGCGCAGGACGGACAGACGGACGACGGACGAGTCTAGTGCGTTGAGCGGTGGAGTGGTCAGGGCTGGGTGTTGGTTGAACGAGGCAAGGTAGGTCATGCAAGTTGATTTGTGCAAAGAAGGTTAGTTAGTTAGTTAGTTAGTTAGTTGCCAGAGCAGATTGTATGGAGTAGCTGTGATGCAGATTGAGCAGGGGTTGCTGAATTGCCGAATGTGAGATATTTTGGTCAACGCTTTTAGTTCTGTGGTGTCCTTTGCATGATTGGCTCACAGTGCAAAACAAAAGGAATGATTGCAAGACAATCCACCGCTCAGGTCAGAGTAACCGCTTAGGGTCCTCCAGGTCAGACATAACGAACTGACTATCTCACACAAAGGGCTCTAGTTGGGGAACATACCTGCATTCTTGCAGCTCTTGCATGGAGAAGCCTTCTTTGCCCAACCATGTAGTGTGTATCTGTGTGGCCCAAGTCCGAATGCAAGCGCCAATCACTCGAGTGGATAGCTGATTACCTTCGCAAACATGCACCAGATCAAAATGATTGACCTTCCCTGGTCAAGCTGAACTATTGTGTACTTTGATGAAACAACCGCGTTTTGCAAGCAGGCCCATGCATCTGCAGAGGAGATGAAGAGGTTGGGTACGTGCTGCTTCCAGCAGGTGTTGTTTTATACAGTTTATACACTCTCTGTTGCTATTCAGGGCTTCCAACAGTGTTCAATGATTTGCCCATATCCGCCCAGAGGCGGTTGGCCTGCCTTCAAATACCACCCAAAACGAATTTGTTTTTGGGGCGTGCGCCAATCAAGTCAAGCTATTTTGGCGTGAAGTGGCATGTGACTTGGGGATCAATCTTGAGGAATACCAGCAGTTCAGTTCCGATATTTTTGGCAACAGACCTCGCATCAGACACCGACATATATATGGTTCTTATGAAGACATACCCATGCATGAATGACGTTTATATTGTGTGGTCTGAATGTTGCAATCGATCAGCTTCCATTCTCCAGAAAGGACAGGTGCAGCGTGAGGCATGGCGGCAGCTTCCCATTCCGTGCATATGTAGAGGGTTGGGGAGCAACTCAAGTCGGTGCCTTTGCTTGGCTGCAACAGGACAATGGTTACAGATGAAGCACCATGGAAGGACACAGAGCATCACGGAGTCTCTGATAATGTCAATGGAATGCCTGAACTTAACAATATTTAATGCTCTCAAGGAGTAGTAGAATGAACGTAGATCAAAGATGATGGAAGTAGACTTATTGACAGAAACACGATAGAAGTCTACCTGCTATGTACTGTATATCTTACACCAAAGCCCAACAGCAGCACTCGAGCTGAACGTGTGCATGTCTTCCCCGCCGAATGGTGGCAAAGTGTGGACATGCCAACGAAGTCCAACAAGGATGGCAATAGTCACGATGACACTTCCCTGCAGGATTTTCAAGTTTCGTGGGAGGGTCTACCTGCCGGTCGTGTTGATTTGTTGAGCGGCTTCCTTTATAAATATACTGCGGAACTGATGGAATTGAGACCGCTTGAGGGGTTCAGGGCTGAAGGCATGGTCCAGTGGTACAGTGGTACTTTACATGTGGGTCAAGACAGGTCGCTTCCGTCGACCTCTGGCAAAATTGAGAGGGGATTCCATTGCTGCCCGTCATGGTTTTGTTGTGCTGCGGCTTATCGAAGCATTTGGTGTTCGATTCTCGCTGTTCGATCTCTCTGGGTTTGGGACATGGTTTGATTGTAACAAGAAGCTACTAGTAACAAGTGCATCGCTACTAGTAACAAGTGCCTTACTACTAGGAGCAAGAAGCTACTAGTAACAAGTGCATCGCTACTAGTAACAAGTGCCTTACTACTAGGAGCAAGAAGCTACTAGTAACAAGTGCATCACTACTAGTAACAAGTGCCTTACTACTAGGAGCAAGAAGCTACTAGTAACAAGTGCATCGCTACTAGTAACAAGTGCCTTACTAC